TAACCCTGGAACTGACGAACACCTGAAAAATAAGAGAGTGGGTCAGGCCCACATGCAAGTCTTATTCTACTACGATCCAAACAGTAATCCAATACGTAGATACATCCTAAGAAGACTCAACAATATCTAGAGTAGTCTATATGTATATATATATAGTACACACTATAGGACGCTCACTAATCCAGTAGGTCTGTCTCAGCCTGAGTAGAGATATCATGCAAATCGCACAATAATATGGTCATGTGTACCTAGACCTACCAAGGAACAACACCTATGTCCAGTTATCCATCCTAGGCGATATACGCACCCTAGCCATGGTCCTGAGACTCAAGCTCATACCATGGTACCATATAATAAATATATAAAGTCCGTACTCCTTCTAATACAAAATATCATCCATCTGTGTAGTGGTCTAGTATATGTATAATCATCCGTCCTGAAACCATATTAAGTCATCCAACTATTTTGTTGACATGACACAAGTAGGTAATGGAATTAACCTATATGGTTAATCCGTATCTTAATCCAAACTAGGTAGGACTTAGGGTTTGATCCAGTCCATACCTAGTATATCACCGTCCCATACTGATACATACAATCATCCAGTTTACACGGTTGACCAAATAGTGATAAGTACAAATCAACTATACTCCAGAATAAGCACACATACAAATCTAATAAGTGTATGATCAAACTATATATCCAGCATATGATCTAGAAGTCACATTCTAGTCCTTTAAAATGTTAAAGTAAAATACAGCATCTAACTCCTCTAAAACAGTACCATAACTTGATGCAATAAATAGTATAGTTAAACATCAATTAATTTCCATTTAAGCATACCTATTTTTTTCCCAAAACATACAATATATGCTTATACAACAGTTGAAACATGAACAACAATTTAAAATTATGCTAGAAACAAAAATGCTTTAAGAAACAGTAAGCAATGTCAAGGTATAATTCAACCTTCCACATGCAGTGTATTAATTAACTGTAGGTTATTTCATGCTTCAAAATTAATACTAACATGCTTCCCAATCCTTTTACATCTCTAAAATAAATTTTATAAACCATCCACAGCCCTTGGAACCACTCCGAAACCTTCCTACAGGCCACAGAAGTCAGAACGTGGAAAAAAATCAAAAAACAAAAGAGGAGCCACCTCCACTAAAAGTGGAGCCGCCTCCCCCTTTGGTGGAGCCGCCTCCACCACCAGTGGAGCCGGCTCTACCCCTTGTAGAGGCGGCTCCACCCTTGTGGTGAGCCGGCTCTACTCCCCTGTGCTCCGTTTGCGCGAAAACTAATCAACTTCTCTGTCTCCGGCGAAGCGCAAAGCCTCTATAATGTTTTTAATCTTCATTCTAGGTTCAATCTTAGTTCTAGACAAATTTAAATCACTAAAATCCAATCCCAACATGTGAAGAACACAAGTTCTTAAGCCACAGTCACAGAACCTCCGTTAGAAAATTCTTAAGCAACTTCCAACAGATTTATACTAATTAATTTAGTGAAAACAGAAACTGATCTAAGAACTTGTTCTAGGACCAAACTCAGTTTTAGATTAGTTACCAGACATCAATCCACTATTAATTCCTATTAAACACAGCCTATACGTAAACAATAATAGGAACAATTTACAGAGCAACTTCCTACCAAAACAGATTTATGCAACGTTTAAACCACTGATACAAACATGCTTTCAAGCTTAATATTACCTTCAATCTAATCTGTTTTAATGCTTGGTAAATCCCTGGAGTCTACTAGGAATGCACAGAACACGAATTAAAGGGACAGAGAAGAATAGTGACTTACCTTTGAGTTTCAGATTTGAAACTCTAAACTGCCGTCTCCTGAATTTTCCGATGAGGTTTCCGACTGTTGTTCCACCTTCGTCACTCTAGGTTTAGTCTCAGTTGAAACCCACAACCCTAGCTTCCTTCCTCTCTATAACTCTCTCAAGTTCTCCTCTCTGCTTCTCCCAAAACCACAATTGTTGCTCTCTGTATGTTCTCTACGTGTATGGGTTTTATTTTTAAAACCCTAGGTAGAACTCGTACATGTATTTATAGGTGTTTGTAATACACAACCCTAATTCTAGTTGCAATACAAGAAGGAAACCTACATATACTAAGTCGGCTACCATGAAACCTAAAACAGTAATCCTAACTTACGCATTTAAGTAATTAAATCAATTACAAATAAATCAATTAAAATAACCATAATTAAATAAAACAAGTATAACATTAAATACCAAAAAAACAACCAACAATTACACATTTAATCAAATATCAATTAAATCAATTTAAAACAAAATAACCCTATTTAATTTAAAACAATTTACAATTAAGCAAATAATTAAAAATTAAACAACATACATGCAATTTAAGCAACACAACAAATAAGGAAACAATTAATCAAATAAAAAGACAATTAAATCAAAAATAAAATACCAGAAATATCCTTTTAAAATTAGGGGTATTACAGCAACTTCACTAGTCGATGTTCGATGCCATCGCCACCACCCACCGAGTCTCCTTCTTACTCGTCGACCGCTAGTCCAAGCTCACTGCCCTCATGAACCGTCATCAGTTTCGTCTGAGTTCTCCTCACTTGCTAGCCATCTTTATCCTCGCCGGTCCGACACTGCCTTGCCCGCCGTTCAACCCACCGCAAGGCCACTATCGTTCAATCCCGTCGAGTCTCCCTCTTACTCACCAGCCGCAGTTCACCAACTGACCTTTCCACAGCCGAACCCTCCATCGCCAGTCAGACCATCATGGTCGAGCCCTCCACTAGCTGAGCTCACTGCTGCACCAGCCAGTCTCCACCGGCCAAGCTCGCCATCGCCGTCTCTCCAGCATCCAAGCATTGCTGAAGTTCATCCACAACCCATCTTGCCCACTGTGATGCCACAGGTTGTGGTGATGGCGCCAGATCGAATGCAATACTTTTGTTACAGTTGTGGGTTTCCGAAGACAAATAAGAAAAACGAACATGGACGATAGTGACCTGGGTTTGGTAAGTGTGGAGGGAAAAAATCCCCCTTCCAGTAAGACTCGTCCACGTCGTCACACTACAAAAATACTCTAGATACCATAAAGGCCCAATCAGTGCCGAGCCCAAATTGGATCAGCCCAGTCCAGAGCAAGCCCAGATAAAGCCTTGGCTCCCACATAGATCACAGACCCAGACTTTCCGGCCCAACTTCTAAGCCCAAACGTCAGCAGCCCGTGACACCAAGGGTGAACTCCAAGCCCATTAGCTGAATCGTCTGGGTCAGCCCACATTCAGCCCAGTCTTGGTCAAGGGAAGTCCAATCCTGCTAAGCCTAGGAATCACAAAAAGAAGCAAGTTCTGTACAAGGAAAACTCTGAATGGAAAGAACTGTAAAGAGGAAATGATTATAATTGTAAAGAAAATCATATATGGAATGAATTGGAAGATAAGCCATGTGAATCCTACCAAAATTCCACCACTTTATTCCTTATAAATAGAGGCTTAGACCTCCAATAAAATCATCGAGTATTATATACTTATTCTGAGTTTTATTCTTACTTATTCTGAGTGAGTTGTATATTTCTCTTTATTTATTTCAATAGAGAGAAATTTTGCACCTACACTTTGGCGCCGTCTGTGGGAACATATAGAAAGATACTCCCACTTTTTTGTTTCAAATTATTTTTGTTTCCACGATCTGGAATGTCGAACGGAGAATCAACGGCGGCAGATTAACAGATGGAGTTGATGCAAAAGATGCAAGAAGAGTTCTTGCACCAATTCGAAGCACTTCGTCAGGCGAATGAAGCCAGCGTAGCCAAGATTGCATTGCTTCAACTGCAAAACGACACCCTTCAAATGGCTATGGCTCAGTTGACACCTCAGCCACCACCAGTTGAGAGGGCTGCGCCTCTTCCCAACCAAAACGAGCCTCAGGTCAATGGGGTTCGGCCTGATGAAGTTCGGCCACCACCAGTTGGCGGGGTTGCGCCTCCTCCCAATCAAAACGAGCCTTAGGTCAATGGGGTTCAGCTTAGCGAAGTTTGGCCTACCGAAGTTCAACAAGACTAGAAGGTAAGATCCGAGGCGATAACTTCGGACAATCTCCCTCATCGCACGCAAGATAAACAGGCCAAGTCCAGTAGTAAACTCACGGTGTGGTCAATGGTGTTCCAGATGATGCAGGAGTAAAGGAGGCTTTTGACGAGAAGAGACTCCTGAGAGTTCAAACGCCTGCAGAGATGGCCAGGGAACATAAGAACTCTCTCGTGAAGACTTCATTCACTGACGATGTGTACCTTATTGACAGACCTAAGAAATTCACTATGCCTGCTTTTACCCAGTTTGATGGCACGGGAGATCCTTCTCGGCACTTAGATTACTACGCTCAAAAAATGGCTCTGGACGATCACAATGACCCATGGATGTGCAAAGTTTTCCCTACCAGTCTAACGGGGGCTGCACTAGAATGGTTCAGGAATAGGCCACACAAATCTATTCCAGACTACGAAACTCTATGCACCATGTTCCTGGCGCAGTATTGCAGTAATAAGAAGCAAAAGAAGAATATTGCTAACCTTTTCACTATAAGGCAAAAGAAGGGTGAAACATTACAAAACTTCTTGTCCATATTTAATATGGAGGCTTCGAAAATAGCAGATTGCCATCCTGCTACCGCAATAGAAACATTCAAACTTGCGATGATCCAGGGAACCAAGTTCCATACATCCTTAGTTAAATATTCCCCTCTGGACATGCAGACTCTCAATGCTAGAGCACAGATCTACATTCGACTTGAGGAGAATGTGGCCCACCGAGCTCAACATGCCACCCTCATCACGGTGGAGAACAAACCTCAAGAAAGGGTTTCAAACTCAAAAAGCTGAAGAAGCCAACACGCTTTGGCACCGGCCATTCAAATACCTGAAAAAAGGCAAAAGACAGAGGAAAGGTTCACGCCTCTTTGCACAACCTTGGCTCGGTTATTCCAGGAGAATAAAATGAAGTTTGCAGCCCCTCAGCCAATAAGGCAGCCATTAAAACAGAGAGATAAGACCAAGCACTGTGCCTACCATAGAGATTATGGGCATGTGACTAATGATTGCAGATCCTTTAGGCAGCAGGTGGAAAACATGATACTGAGGGGTAAATTGGCAGATTACCTTACAACGAAGGAGTACGTGAAGCCTCGGGAGGTCAACCCTCGGAAAGTCGAAGGGAATCAAGTGAAGGTCATCCATGCAATACAAGGAAGATCGGAGGATGATCAGGAATCAGAGGAGGTTTATACGTCCCAACTGAGAACAGCCCATAAGCTGAAGAGGCTATCCTCGATAAACGCTATTGCTTCGGGAGGCATCAATATTGGGTTTGGCGATGGAGATCTATCTAAAGTCCAACTCCCCTACGAGGATCCGTTGGTCATCAGTCTCTTGGTGGTGAATTGCATGATTAAGAGGGTTTAGATAGACCCAGGGAGTAGTGCCAACATCATCACAAAGGCAGTCTTTGAGCAGCTAGAGATTCCATCATCATCAATTCGGGCCACCTCCAGCCCATTGATGGGGTTCGACGGTACAAAGGTGGACCCCCTTGGGGTAATTGACCTATCTGTAACCGTGGCAAAGAGGACACTGAAGGAAAACTTTGTCTTAACGGAGATCCACCCTTCCTATAATCTTATTATGGGAAGAAGTTGGATCCACCAAATGAACGGGGTTCCGTCTACCCTTCACCAGGTGATGCGATGTTTGTCTCCGGACAGGAAAGAGGTTATTGACCTCAGGGGAGATCAAGTAGCTGCCAAAGAGTGCTACATGTTAACACATAATGAGGTAAAGAAGGTAACAAAACAGTCCTAACTGATCACACCTCCGAGAGGCAAATCCAAATAACAATTACAGAATCCTCTGCCGAGATATCTGAAAGCAGAGGATGAGGCCGAAGCGAAAAACCCTACCGAGGAGTCTCTGGAAGCTGTCGAGGTAATCCTCGGCGATCCTCAGAAAATCACCTACATGGGTTCTTCCCCCACAGCCGAAGAAAAATAATCATTAATTAATGTCATTCGACGAAACGCAAATGCATTTACTTGGGAGCATTCAGACATGGTGGGGATCAATCCTTCAATCTCATACCATAGCCTAAAAGTGGATCCGGTATACAAACCAGTCAAGCAGAAGCACAGAAGGTTCATTCCAGAGCGCAACCAAATTATAGCTGAAGAGGTAAGCAAGTTACTTCAGGCAGGCTTCATCCGAGAGGTGTACTACCCACAATGGCTCTCCAACGTGGTGGTAGTTCAGAAGAAGAATGGCAAATGGAGGGTTTGCATAGATTTTACTAATCTCAACAAAGCCTGCCCTAAAGACAGCTTCCCGTTACCCAAGATTGATCAGATGGTTGATGTCACTACTGGTTTTGAGAGGCTCACATTTCTTGATACATACTCCGGCTACAACCAAATTCTTATGAATCCAGAGGATGAAGAGAAAACTACTTTCATAACAGAGAAGGGCACCTACTGTTACAGAGTTATGCCTTTCGGGCTCAAGAATGCTAGAGTAACTTACCAGCGCCTTGTTAACAAGATCTTCAACGAGATGTTGGGAAAGACGTTCGAGGCCTATATCGATGATATGGTGGTTAAAAGTGTGAAGAAGGAAGAACATCATAGGCACCTCCAAGAGGTCTTTGACACGCTAAGAAAATATGGCATGAAGTTAAATCCTTCGAAGTGTTCCTTCGCAGTTTCTTCAGGATAGTTCCTCGGCCATATTGTGAACAAAAGGGGAATTGAGGTGAGTCCAGCTCAGGCTCAAGCCCTTATACAAAATCAAGAACCAAAGACCCGCAGGGAAGTACAAGTATTGACCGGTCGAATCACAGCTCTTAGTCGATTTATCTCTTGATTGTCTGATAAGTGCAAACCATTCTTTGATGCAATAAGGTCCAAAAATAAAGATATATGGGGACCTCAACAGCAAGCTGCTCTCAATCAACTGAAATGCTACATGGTGAAACCCCCAATTCTATCAGCTCTGAAGCCTGGTGAGACTCTTATCACGTATTTAGCCATCTCCAGCATAGCCACGAGTGCAGTATTGATCAAAGAATAAGGTAAGAGTCAGTATCCAATCTTTTACACTAGCAAGACAATGGCAGATGTAGAAACGCGGTACAGCAAAGCCGAGAAGATTATACTAGCATTGGTATATGTAAAAAGGAAACTTCGACATTACTTTGAGTCACACAGCATCAAAGTTCTTACCAACTACCCCATGCAAGTCATTCTTTCTAAACCGAATTTATCCGAAATGGGCAATCGAGCTTAGTTCCTTTGACATATCCTACGAACCAAAGGTGTCGCACAAAGGGCAAGCACTAGCTGATTTCCTCTTAGAGTATGAAGATAAACCCGACGAGCCAGGCCCTTCTGAACCACAATGGGAGCTTCGGGTGGATGGTTCCTCAAGCTTAATTAGTGCTAGGGCAGGAGTCGTTATCACAACTCCCGAAGGCACCAAGCTGCAGAATCAATCCGATTGACTTTTCCTACCACTAACAATGAGGCAGAATATAAAGCCCTGCTCGCAAGACTCCGGTTAGCAAACCAGCTTCAAGTAAGGTGTCTAAAAGTTTTTAGTGATTCTCAACTTATTATGAATCAGGTAATAGGCCAGTACCAGCCCAAGGAAGATAGAATGAAAGCTTACAAAGAAGCTGTGGAGAGTGCCTCACGAGGGTTCGACCAGATCGAATTCCATCAGATACCTCACAAGAAATTCTAAAGCAGATCAGTTGGCTGCAGTAGCATCTTCTTTGGATGAATATCTGGTCCGGATCGTACCAATTGACATCCTGGACGAACTAAGTATAAGCCCTCGGCAAAAGATAAAGGTGATCCTAGATGTCCCACGCAAACCATGCTGGATGGATCCATTGAAGGCTTACCTTAAGGAGGCGACTCTCCCAAACCAAAAGGCCGAGGCGTGGAAACTCAGTCTCACCGCAATAACCAATTATACCGAAAGTCATTCTCAGGTCCTTACTTGAAATGTTTAAGCCCCACTGAGGCTTTCATGATTCTGAAGCAAATTCATGACAGGGATTGTGGCAATCACTCCGAAGGAAGATCTTTGGCACATAAAGTTCTGACTCAAGGTTATTTCTGGCCTTACTTAGCTCGGAATGCTGAAAAGTATGCCAGAATGTGAGATAAGTGCCAGCGACATGGTCCAATGAAGCATCAACCCGCCGAAGATTTGCACACGATGGCGAATCCATGGCCATTCGCTTAGTGGGGGATCGATATGGTCAGTCCTTTGCCCAAAACGGTGGAGAAAAAGTAATACGTGTTGCAAGCCACTGATTACTTCACTAAATAGGTAGAAGCCGAAGCCTACTCAAGCGTAACCTATGAACAAGTGAAGAGTTTTCTCTGGAACAGCATAATTTGCCGATTTGGGGTGCCAAATGTTATCATGATGGACAATGGCCCAAATTTAGATAACCAAAGCACAAGAAAATTCTTTGCCGAGCATGGGATTAGGCAAAAATTGGCTGCAATTAACCATCCTCAGGGGAATGGACAGGCAGAAATAACTAATAGAACCATCTTCAGCGGCTTAAAAAAAGAGTTGGAAAAGCTCAAATCCAAATGGTACGAGAATCTGCCTCAGGTATTTTGGGCGTATCGAACCACCCCCCGCAGGCCAACGGGAGAAAGCCCTTTTGCCATGGCCTATATGTTAGAAGCTGTCATACCCACGGAATCAGTAGTTCCGACTCTTCGGAACCACTTGGTACTCGAAGGTAACAATGATCAACAACTCGAACACAGCCTCGATCTCTTGGAAGAAAAGAGGGATGCCACGACAATTAGGCTCGCTTCGTACCAGTAACAGTTGCGTAACAATTACAACAAGCGCGTTAAGTTCAAACGTTTTGTGAAAGGAGATTGGGTGCTGAAACAGGAAACGGCCCATGTAAAAAAGTTGCAACCCAATTGGATCGGACCTTACAGAGTCACTGAAGTAGTGGGGAAAGGAGCTTACCGATTGGCAGAAGCTGATGGGCGTCCAATTGCACGTCCATAGAATGCAATACACTTGAAAATGTACTATCATTAGATGATATAGTTTGTTTACTTTCTACTCACAGACAGCATACATCTGTTTTCTATCCAAGTATGGCTATTTCTAGGCCTATATAATAAAAGTTTCTTGAGTTATGCACATCTTTACTCCTTTAGTAGAGTGGGGTCTTACTTCTTTTGTCATAATAGGGGGCAATACATGTACCCTACTATTGATATTACAACAAAAGCATGTCTCATACACCCTACTGTTGATATTACAACAAACGAAGGATATCAACACAAAGCAAACAAAACGAATAATTTTGACTTTTTACTGGTACTTACATATCCCTTTTTCATACAAAAGCACAAAAGTACAAGTATGTACCCTATTATTGATATTACAAGTCCTTTTTTTAAATGGACATTTAGGCTCTATCTAAATCATGAGCCCAAAGGTGCTTTACAGTTTTTTCATTTTTAGACACAAACCACAAATATGTGTAACTCGGAGCACTTATCTACTATGGTCCCACATCGAAAAAAAAAAGCTATTTCTGTACTACCTTTATATAGGGAAATATTAAAGTATTTGGGTGCATTGCAACGAGGGCCCGTTGGCAACAGTAACAGCCCAGCCCAAGTTGTGTTCAAAGCCCTAGTACCAACGGGCATTCTTTACAATAATTTTTGTTCTTTCCGAGCAAACCAGTTTTGTGGCTCATATATCCTTTGTCCCACATCGAATAGGAATACCAAAGGTATGTAGTAAATATAGAGTTGGCAAGCTGCGTTTGGTTGCCACAAAAAGAGTCCTTGTGAAGGAAAGTCTCCCAAAACAAATGAAAGGGGGACTTCCCAGTCACAATTACTCTCTTTCTTGGCCTCATATCATTTTTGAATCTTCGGCCAGCCTGGCATATTTAATGATTTTTCCTCTCATACCCACAGCCGAGGAACATCTCGCTTCGAACCCCAAGAGTTCAACTTAATAAAGTTCCTCCTAGGCTCACAGCTGAGGAATACTTCGCTTTGGACCCTAAGAGTCCAGCTCAGAAAAGTTCCTCTCAGGCTCACAGCCGAGGAACACTCTGCTTCGGACCCCAAGAGTCCAGCTCAATAAAGTTCCTCTCAGGCTCACAGCCGAGGAACACTCCGCTTCGGACCCCAAGAGTCTGTCTCTGTAAAGTTTCTCTCAGGGCCACAGCCGAGGAACATCTCGCTTCAGACCCCAAGAGTCCAGCTTAATAAAGTTCCTCCCAGGCTCACAGCCGAGGAATACCTCGCTTCGGCCCCCAAGAGTCTAGCATAAAAAAGTTCATCTCAGGCTCACAGCCGAGGAACACTCCGCTTCGGACCCCAAGAGTCCAGCTCAGTAAAGTACCT